AATCTTTAGAGATGTCTTCACGTATACAGTACCAAAAATATCTGAAGGGACAGAACCCTGAGAAGTTTTGCCAATATTGACCAGAGAGGGCGCACATCATCGAACCATAGTTTGAATGAATGGCTGATTTTAATGTTGAAATTACAACAGTGGACGAAACGTAAATAAAAACAAAGTTTTTTTTTTTATCTCTTGTGGGGTCATCCCACCTTTATTCATCACAAAGACAAAACATTTTTTATAAGCAACATTGTGGTTAAAAATAAAAAGTTAGTTAAGCAATAATGACTAAATCCAGATATTTATTATCAAAATGTATAGACCTGTGCCTACGTGATACCGAACACAGGCTAAATTTAATACGATAAGCCATGGATCAACTTACACTTTTTGCTTTTCCATTTATAGCATTTATGCAAAATTACTATTGATTAAAAATCAATGATACCTCATCCTCATTTCTAATAGGCCTACATTGCTATGTTGTTTATCATAACTGAAGATATCTACAGGCATCTAAAATGTGAAGGTACGGTAGACTGAACGCGTGATATAGCACTCGTTCATAATTGGAAAGCCGAATATAAAACTTGAAGGCATTACTATTATGGTAATACCTATTCAGCAAAATATGGTATTTAAATGTATTTATGCTTTTATACTTTTTTGTGGCGCTGCAAACAGGGGATCACAAGACGTCAAGACAAAAATAAATTTTACCTTAAAGTTTCGCCCAGATCTGCCCTTCTCAGTAAAGGTAGGCCTATATAATAGGGTAAAATTAATACCTACATTGAGAAGGGCCGATCTGACCTGAAGTGTTTTCTAGACAATAATAACAATAATAAAATGATCTACTGTACTTCATTTGTTTTTGTACGTTTAACATATTTTCATCCCTTGTTTGTAAGACTAGTAAAAAGTACGTACCGATACAAAACAATAGGCCTATATTGAGCAAAGCGATACGTGGCCTGTTTCCATAAAAATAAATAAATAAAAAATCTAAATAAAACTGTAACGCAGACACAAAAAGTTATTTTGTTAATGAATATTAAAATAGCGTGAATACAATATTATATCATTGGAGTATAGGTATAGGCCTATTTATTAGATGAAATTATATAATTTACCTTTTCTAGGCATAAGATCAAGGTTTTAAAACGAGTAACGGGAAGACAGTAACAAAAAGCACAATACATTATCTAAGAATTGGAATATTATTAGTTATAATTCATGTATGGACATGACGGCGGAATATTGAAGTTTGGAATATGCACAAACTTTTGCTTGCAGTGCAGTTTCACTTTCACAATGATGCACTGTATTTTTTAAATACTGTATTCAAGATGGCGTATAATTTGCGCTCAATGTGTGTAAAAACCATACTGTTATCATTATAATCCTATATACGTCACAAGTTGTGTTGATTGGTTTATAAAAAGAATTCCCGTTTTATTTTGTAACGTCTGATGCAATTATTCAGTTTGGAAACTAATCCTGTATTATTTCTACACATTAAATTAAAACACCTATCATAAAGATGTTTTAAGCCTGGTCCGCAGTACACTGACACCGCGTCGAACGAAGGAGGCCAACGGATATTGTACAGGCATTTCTTATCAAGGTACTCTAGATGCATTTTTATGCATATGTGTGTGTACGCCTATATTATATGTATCCAAAGTAGAGCTATGAATGAACCTGGTAGTTAATATAATATAAAACTATAAGCATCATGTACAAACCGTCCAGAAATTTTCCATAAATATCTATTTACTGAGGACTATTATTTCACATTCTAAATTATTTTGTATAAGCGCAATTCGAATAAGCGCCGCTCTGCAATAAATCCAATTCAGTTGGAAATTCAATGAGAATAAAATAAAAACACCTAAAAATGACTAATATACATATTAAAATAATTTATGAAATGTTAACTTATACATTCTAGGCTCAGAATTCCATTTCAGAACGACCGTTATGCCTTGCCCACAGCCGCTTATCTTGTACAGCTGTACCATCTCCATTCGTTACATCTCGCTTTATGCTCCTATGGCGGTACACAGCTGAAATGAAATAAAATGAATGACTAAAACATAACTCTAGCAATTATTACAATAATTATTTTGCAATTAAACAAACTGAATAAAATATATGCTATTTGACATTTAAAAAAAAGACAAAGTTTAAAATTTAGCAAAACGTGAAACTCGTAGAAGGGGTCGTGTTGTACTCGTTTATTCACAAGATGAATACACTGTGGTAGACCAACGTGATACAGAGAACGTGTTTGCAATTACATAAAAAATCCATCTTTGTTGATTCACACACTTTTTATATATGCAATTCTTAAATCCAGACTGCCAGACAGTCAATATAAACAAATTTAGGAACTTGATTAATTCTGTGTCTGTTACTTTCGAAGAAAATATTTTTTAATGAACTTAGTATGTGACACACATACAGTATTACAAATTCTTTAAGTTAATTGATATGAATAATAAGACTGACATAATGCACGCGTTCATGTGTGAGCAGCTAGCTCTGTCGCCTAAAGTGGTACGGTAACCACCGTGTGCGCTGAACAGTGGAGATCTTTAGGTCCCCGTTTCAATCAATCAATTCCCATCTCTATTCTTGTGTTTCAGCTAGAGGGCTGAAATGCAAGTTTAAAAGTGCATCGTCTTTCTGATGAGACGTTTAAGCCGTTGGTCCCGTGTGCAAAATAGCCCATGCGCACGTTAAAGAACGCAGTGCACTTTTCGGAAAAGAGTAGGGGATTGTCTCCAGGTGTACTGCCTAATGAACTACCAGAAGGACCCCACTGGAAATATGTCCCAGGACTTTCGTGGGTTATCCTTGGTGTGTGTCACGCCGAAGAAATCCAATCAGCTTACCAAATCAGATTAACATCATCGGTGCGTAAAGTAAACATATCAATTATTTTTAAACAAAATGATATAAAATTCAACATGAGATTCGACTAACCTTTACTTCTGCGATTAATTGTGTCTAGCGCCGTACGTTTCCGTTGCACTGGGGGTTGGTTTACAGTACTTTGATACAACACGGATTCAGTATCATCATCATAATCCACCGTCAGGCCGTTAACCCCTGAGAACGGTTAAGAAAGTCTCGTTTACAATGCATTCCACATTAAATCATTACAATGAATCATAAGTGCTATAGTTAGACCTATAAATGATTATAATTAATTTGGTAATTGAGTTTTCTTCTACTTCATAGTACCGTGTAAATTACTGCTACAGTATACACCGAAACGTCGAGACAACCAACCAGTGGTTTTACCTCAAATTTTTGCACATAGTGTACTGAAAAGTATAATGATTTGTTATTACTGCAGTATTTCTACCACTATTTTATTTTTAATTTATATTTACTTTATAAATTTACTATTGCAGGTATTTGTCTCGTCTATTATATAAATAAAAAGTCTATAAAATGATTACGTAATACCTTTATTTTCATTCGAGGTTTGCCAGCTGTATTTGACTTCCCCGCCTTTAATCCTGGAAGCTTCCATGGCCTGCAATCTTGCTCGCCGACCATTCGGGTTTTCGCGACTACCGTTACTTACGCGTGAACTTCCTTTGGCCCAGACTCGACTCGCCTAAAGAACGAGAATACCATGAATCGTTGCATTATTCTGCCCAACCATGACAAAATAAAAAAAACTAGTTTTGAAAAATTGTAATTTACTTCCTTCTGTCATGGTGGGACAGAACTGACCATGAGAATTATGAACACAATAGCAAAGATCGATGACATGCACGGGCAAAACTAGTAACATTAAACAAAATGTCCTAATATGGTACACTAGCGTAATTTTACATCGCATGTTTTGTAATTTGAGACTGTTTGACTAATGGCTCAATGCTACTTTTATTTATTGTTTATAATGTTCGATATGTACCAATTGATTTCGACATAAAATTAAGATACACAAAAATAACGATATTCATGGCAATAACGATTTTGGCTGACGATAACGATTTTGATGATGATAATGATAACGATGATTACGATGATATTGGTGATTATGATGATGATGATGATGATGATGATGATGATGATGATGATGATGATGATGATGATGAGGTTGATGATGAGGTTGATGATGATGGTGACAATGTTAAAAGTTTTTCATATTAACAAGTGACGATCCTTTTTATTGATGATTGCTATGGCAGTGGTTAAGAACATAATTTGAATATTATTGTTTTCTTACCGATCGTCCCATAAGGTTCCTCTCAATTTCTGACGCTTTTCTGAAGACTTGCAAGATCTCTGTTGCACCCGCAAGAACTAAAAATATAGATCAAATTCAATATTACATAATTACATTATAAAGACGAAAAAAAGATTGATTCAACCGTTCAGTATGTTTAACACTATGGAATGGTGAATAAAAACAGCATAGCGTACGATTTGATTTCTTAGAAAGATTAAGTACAATTTCCAATCCTTTTAATACATTTATACCATCGGATCAAACGGATTGTGATGGAGAATGCTCGCCGCTGTTAAGTAACATTATTTATTTACAAACTTGTTAACATATCAAAGTTTGTTTTTGCATCTGGATAAATTTAGTGGTGTCACAAACGACGGTGCAGAACCTCTAAGGTATAATTCCTCTTAACAACGAGAGTACCGTACTCAATAAATACCGGTATTAGTTAAAAAAGATGATCTCGACCAAATTTCGGCATCACTCAGAAAGTTCTTTGAAGGCAATGGGTTGGTCATTCTGGTTTTCAACAGGGGTTCATTTGTCAACATTTGTTTTTATTATTTTACTGAAACGGTGTAAACTTGAACACAACAGTTTATGGACACCTAGATGTGGCCTATCGCTCATAGTTTTGATGGCTTCAGGATTGCAGTGCAGTATTCCATTTTCACGACCATTCTACATATTTAAGCACGTCTCACATTATCGCGACCTGACAATGCTACCTACGGTCGTATCTGACCGGAAGTAGGACCTGGCGACCAGTACCGACCACTATATTTTTTTCAACATGTTGAAAACTCCGCGACCATCGACGACCCTCTCTTCTACACGAGCAAGTTGCTCATAGCAACTCTCACACTGGTCGGTGATACTGATCGCAGTACATATAGGTCGTGATAGTGTGAGAGTTGCTTTAGAGTTCCCCAGATCAGGGGATCGTAGATCTTGTCGAGGGTAGCACGGGTTACCCCCTGAAACTTTTAAATCTTTGTTCAACATTATCCTATCATTGAGCACCCACTACGATAATTATAAGCTAATTTGTGGCCAGGAAAAACAAAGTGTTTGTCCATGCACCATACCTTTCTTGTTGTCCATTCTCATTGCAGGTAAAACGACAACAACTACCCAACAAGGTGTCTTGGTGTCCTCAACTGCATCCTTAACGAAGCTCAATGCAACAGATGACAAATGACGCAATCGCACTCTGTCCACGGTCTCCTTACGCGCCTCCAGAGCCAGTTGAACCTTGTATTCTTGAATGTCGAATACCTGCAAGTGATAAATATGAAATATTGATAATAAGAATAATATTATTAATAATAATAATGAAATTCAAAACAATTATATTAACCACAACATAGAAAACTCAACAGCAATAACTTTTAAAGATAATTAATTATCAATTTTATTTAATCATTGCAAATACAACTCATTTTATATTGATAATAATATTATTACAATAATAATAACAATAATAATATTAATAATAATAATCACTATTATTATTATCATTATTATCTACTTATCATAGGTATCATAACAGATCTACACGATTAATATTATTACGATAGTATTACATCTTAAATTAAAACACTTTAATCAAAGCTAAGATAAAAATGAAAAAAATGGAATATCTTTTCATTATAGTTATCAATCAGCCTGTTTTTTTAAATGTTTAAAATACACAAAGCACTCAAATATGTCAGTTTATATAGACTGATATAGGCTAGGCGTATAATAATAATAATACTATATATA